TTTTGTGCATGAGCTCTGGAATCAGCCATTTCTCTAAAGAGCTATAACCCCTTGTAGTGGGAAACAGCACCTACCAACCCCGGTCGGCACTAGGTGTGCTGTTTGGGGGTAGAGCTGTCATTGGGCCCTCAGTAGAGAGCTGACACCACTGCCTTCCCCCGATGCTTTCAACCCTGCAATTCTGACACTTCCTCATCTTTACACCCCATCATCCGACTCAGCCCGCTACAGGGATCCCCCACGCTGGGCTGCCCTCCTGTGCGCCCACTGCCGGCTCTGCCGTGCCTCACAGCCTGCTCAGGGCCACCACACCCTGCTCTTCTGCTGAGGAGGCTGCTCACCCTGACCCCACCGCATGGCATTTGGACTGACTTGTTCAGGAAAAGCAGAGGAAGAGAAGAACGCAATCTACTGAAAAATATGTCGCATGTGTTAGAGAAAGAAAGAACAAGGAAGAAAAGATGGATAAAAATATATATCAAAGTGTTATAGTCTAAGGTCAGCAGATGGCATGGTGGTTAAGGTGCTGGACTCCCACATGACCAACTACAGTTTGAGTCCTGGATCTGGTGGCTTGAAAATCATGCCACATGTACGTGTGTGTGTGCCCACCCAAAATGCCAAGAGGAGAATGGAGGAGAAGGGATTGCAACATGGTCATCCCCCCGCGGGAGATGATTTCTTTCCCTCTGTCTGTCTGTCTTTGGCAAGCACATGCGCCCTATGACAAAAACCTAAAAAAAAGTTATAATTTGACAGGGAGTTATAGACAATGTCTCCTTTATTGCTTATTGGTATATCCTTTTTGCCAGAGAGCATATATGCTTGCTGGAGAGAAAAGGAGAGATGGAGAGACAGAGAGAGAGAGAGAGGGTGGAAGGAGAAGGCACCCCACGATAGGGTGTGGTCATGCTGCAGGCCGTTCTCCTCCGCTTCTCCGTCCTGCTGGGATTTGGAGCATGCGTGCACACGTGTGTGTTTTTTAAGCAGCCAGGACTGACATTCAATCCACATGGTCAGCCATGTGGGATCCAGCTCTCTTAACCACTAGGCCACAGGGCCAGCCCTCCAGAGGACTTTTATAATAGCAGAAACAACAAAATTATACAGGTAAAGAAAAAGCAGCTTCTCTTTGATCCTATCCACTTGAATAGTAACTAAAAGTTTTAGTTAAAAAGATCCACTGGATTGGGGCCAGCAGGTGGCATAGGGTTAAGGGCACTAAACTCCCACATGGTCAACCACAGTTCGAGTCCTAGACCTGGAGCCTTGCTTTCTCACTTTGTCTCTCATTCTGTCCTTCTCTGGTCAAATTACAATAAATAAAGTTAAATAAAATTATATATTAAAAAATTTCACTGTGGGACCAGCAGTTGGTGCAATGGCTATGTCACTGGACTCCCATGTAGTCAACCACGGTTCGAGTCCCAGACTGGGTAGCTTGAACTCATGCTGGGTGCATGTACGTGCGTGCCCAAGATCCTGAGAGGAGAATGGAGGAGAATGGATTGCGGCATGGCCATCCCCCCTGGGGAGTGATTTCTCACTTTCTATCTCTCTGTCTCTCTCTGTCTTTCTGGTGAGTGCACACACCCTATAGCAAAAACCTCTCAAAAAATTTTTTTTCACTGGGTTATGGTCTGGTATTATCTAACATAATGAAGAGACATGCCGAATAGATGGTAACTATTAAAAAAAGGAAGTGAGATCTGTTATTTTGTGCCAGAAATCTGACAGAATACAAGTTTAGCAGAAAACACAGAAGTAGTACCTTCGGTCTTACATACAGATAGATACATTTCCCTCCCCACAGTCAGAGCTGCTACTGCTTCAAAAGAGAAGTGTGTGTGAGTGTGTGTATTCTTTTTTTTTTAATTAATCTTTTAAGAGGTTTTTGCCTTAAGGTGCATGCACTCGCTGGAGAGAGACAGGCATAGTGAAAGGGAAAGCGAGAAATCACCCCCCAGGGGGATGGTTATGCCACAGTCCCTTTTCCTCCTTTCTCCTCTTGGGATCCTGGGCATGCACACACACATGCCTGGCATGATTTCCAAACCACTGGTCCGGGGCCCAAACTGCAGTTGGCCATGTGGGAGTCTGGTGACGTAACTGCCACGCCATCTGCTGATCCTGAGAACAAAATAATTTTTTAAAGATCTGCAAACAAAAGCAGGGTGAATGAATGAATAATCTCACAAAAATAATTCTTGTTCAGTCTAAATGAACCCAGAGATTTATCAGCTTTCTAAACAGATTCTGACAGTGTAATTATAGTGAAATAAATCGCAACAAACTGGAAAGAACTAGAAATAGCTGCTGGCAGCACTGGCTGACTGTCGAAGACGACCAGCGCCCCTGGCTATCGGCTGGCTTCTGAAGTCAGAGTTTTACTTCTGCAAGTGAGTACTTCCTCCGGCCCTGGGAGCAGCTCAGTCCCAATTCCACCAGCCTTTGGTAGCTACCTGCTTGATTTTGAAAATACAACACTTATATGAGTACAATAATGTGTGAAATATGAACCTGGATTAAGTGAAAGCCTGGAAGAGATGACTCTAAGACTCAAGTTAAACATCTACAGAGAAGGTCCAGCCAATGGCATAATGGTTACGTCACCAGACTCCAACGTAGTTGACCACGGTTCAAGTGGTCAACTTGGTGGCTTAAAACTCACACTGGGTGTTTATGTGTGCATGCCCAAGATCCCAAGGGGAGAATGGAAAAGGGACTGTGGCATAGCACCCCTTCCAGGGGTGATTTCTTGCTGTCTGTTTCTTTGGCAAGTGCATGCACCCTGTAACAAGAATCCCTATGAAAAAAAAAAAAAAAGGCCAGATCCCACATGACTGACCATGGTTGGAGGCATGAAAAACATGCCGAGTGCATGTGTGTGCCCCAAAACCCTAATGGGGTGGAAAAATGGAGGAGAAAGGATTGTGGTGTGACCATGCCCCACTGGGGAGTGCTTCTCTTCCCTCTGAAAAGGGCATATACCCCCTGGAAATGAAAAAAAATTCTACAGAAAGCCAATGAACAGGGGCCAGTAGGTTGTGAGGTGGTTAAGACACTGAATACCAGATGGCTGACCGTGGTTCCCATCCCAAAGCTGGCAACTTGAAAATCACAACAAAGGGGCCAGCAGGGGGTGTGGTGGTCGAGGCACAGGACTCCCACAGGGCTTACCACAACTGAGTCCTGGAACTAGTGGCTCGCTCTCAGTTTCTCTTTTCCTCTCTGTCTCTCTCTAGTCAACACACATGCCCTATAGCAAATTTTTAAAAATAATAGTAATTAATAGAATTAAATAAATCATTATTTTTTTTAAAAAAGGAAATCACAACAAATAAATAAATAAATATTATAAAAGCAAGCAAGCAAGCAAGCCAGGCAGCCAATGGACAGTGGCCCTATGTGGTGTGCTGGAAATACTCATTGAGAAAGGAGCATAAGACAATGCCCTGGGTGGTAAAAGTGGTTCAATCTGCTATTAAGTTGTCAGAAAAGTCATGACACATTTTCACATAGAAAAATACGTCATGACTTTCCTGACGATATAATAGATGAAGTTTATACTGGTGTGTATGTAAGTAAAAATTTAACAAGGTATACATAAGATTTGTGCACTTTTTGTACCTTGCTAAATACATTTTACATTAAATATTAAAAAGTAACAAATTGGGGGTGTCAGCTGGCAATGTGGTTAAGGCAGCTAGACCCCACATGGCTGGATGTGTGGTTCAAGTCCTAGACCCACGGTCTGAAAAATATGCTGGGTACCTGTGTATATATGCCTAAAATCCCAAGAAGAGCATGGAGGAGAAGGGACTGTGGCATGGCTGGCCTCCCTAGGTTGATTTCTCACTTTCTTTCCCTCTCTCTCTCTGTGTCTCTATCTGGAGAGCACACATGCCCTATAGCAAAAATTTTTAAAAAAAGAATGAATTTAGGGGCCGGCATGGTGATTAAGGGCACTGGACTCTCACATAGCTAACTGTGGTTCAAGTCCCAGACCTGGTGGCTTACTTTCTCGCTCTCACTCTGTCCCTGCCTGGTCAAGTTAAAAAATAAATAAATAAACAAAGTTAAATAAAACAATTCTAAAAAAAAAAAAGTGTGAATTTTAAAAACTCTTCAAGAAGCTTATGGTTAAAACTGTCAGAATAGGGCCAGGACTGCAGAGTGTGCTGACAGACGGTGCTACTGAGCAGTCTGACAGCACGTGGGAGGTCCAGGCTGGATCAGCGGTCTCCCCTACAAACTGGGCACAGTGGTGCATGCCTGTCGTCTGAGCTACTCAGGAATGACTCCCTTTCTTACTCTCTTCCAAAAACTATTAAAAATGAGAGCCAAAGGGGAGCAAATAAAACCAGAAAAACAGAAAGCAAGTGAGGAACTCTCAGCAAATGAAGTTTTCTTTATGTTTCTGGAATACAGATGACGAACAAAGAATGAGGGCCTGTAACTTAAATCTGCTTAGAGTGACAGCCACAGAGAACGTCCTTCTGACAGATCCCAGGACCTACTCCAGAGGGGAATGAAGGGTGATTTCTCTCTTTTTGTATGGGAGGGGGAGGTATGTTTTGTTTGTTTGTTTGTTTGTTTGCTATAGGGCGCATGCATTCACCAGAAAGACAGAGAGAGACAGAAAGCTAGAAATCGCCCCCCAGGGGGGGTGGCCACGCCACAATCCCTTCTCCTCCATTCTCCTCTCAGGATCTTGGGCACGCACACACACGCGCCCGGCATGAGTTTAAGCCACCGTGTCCAGGACTCGAACTGCGGTTGACTAAGGGTAGTCCAGCGACATAGCCATTACGCTAACTGCTGGTCCCAAGGGGTGATTTCTCACAGTCTCCCCTCTGTTTCTCTCTGGCAAGCATACATGCCCTATGTCCAAAACTTTAAAAAAACAAAAACAAAAAACCCTAAAATCTACAGAACTATATTTAAAATGTTACTATGTGACAGTCTGTGTGAGTGGCATCAGTAAGGGTGACACTTACATGAGGAAGGCTACAGTTGCTATGACACCACAGGCATGGTAGGAGTGGTTGAAGTCTTCCATAGTGGGATAAATAACAGCTGCATCAATGATAATCCACCAGCCTGTAAAGAACTAAAGCAAGCACAGGTGATGTCAATGAGAAGCTGGGGCCGTTCCATATCTTACCTGTTAGGAGAAAGCACGGTATCCACGTGAAGACAGCCCTTGCGATCAATTTCAAATCTGTCAAGTAGTTTCTTATGTATAATTTACACACAGCCTAACAGCTCTTTAAACATTAGGAACCCTTAAATTTAATCGTTATTTGTATATTGCCATAATAAAGTCTGTAATCTAATTTCGTGAACTAGAAACAGGTTACCATTATCTTTTAGCAGTAAAAACGAAAGAATTCAGACTTCAATTAACAGAAGTACTCTGCTGCTGATATATTATGAGCTGCTAAAAAGACGTTAGGGACCAGCAGTTGGCGTAATGGCTATGTCGCTGGACTCCCATGTAGTCAACCACGGTTCGAGTCCCAGACCCAGTGACTTAAACTCATGCCAGGCGCGTGTGTGTGTGTGTGTGCCCAAGATCCCGAGAGGAGACTGGAGGAGAAGGGATTGTGGAAATCATCCCGGGGGGGCGATTTCTCACTTTCAGTCTCTGTCTTTCCGGCGAGCAGCAAAAACCTCCCCCAAAAAAGAAAGATATTATTTAAAAAAGGAGAGTCATTCAAGTTAAAATAAGCAATTATTGCTGACAGAAGTGTAACCGTACTCTTGGTGTTGAGAAACAGCTCTGCAGTTCTGCTTTTCCTTTTTTTTTTTGGAGAGGTTTTCACTGTAGGGCGCGTGCGCTCGCCAGACAGACAGAGAGAGACATAGAGACAGAAAGCGAGAAATCACCCCCCAGGGGGGATGGTCACACCGCAATCCCTTCTTCTCCATTCTCCTCTCGGGATCCTGGGCACAGACGCACACGCGCCCGGCGTGAGTTCTAAGCCACCGGGTCTGGGACGTGAACCGCGGTCGACTACGTGGGAGTCCAGTGACATAGCCATTATGCTAACTGCTGGTTCCCTGCAGTTCTGCTTTTCCTTTTGATGAATAACTATATACAATCTATAGATGGCTTCAGGTGTGACTTTAAATTCAATTTAAGGCACCAGCAGGTGGCCTAATGGCTAAGGCACTGAACTCCCACATGGCCAACAGTTCAAATCCCACATACTGAAGCCTGAAAATCACACTGGTGTGTGAGTTTCTGCCCAAAATTCCAAGAGGAGATTGAAGGAGAGGGGATTGTAGTGAGGCTAACCCCCTGCGGGGTGATTTCTCACTTTCCCTCTCTTTCTCCAGTGAGTACACACGTCCTATAGCAAAAACATTTTTAAAAAATCTATTTAAATGCCAGATAATATTTTAAATAATTAAATTTGGTTCAGGATATTATCAACACAAATATATAATTTAAAAAAACTGTGGGACTGGCAGATGGCATAATGGTCATGTCGTTGGACTCCCACATGGCCAATGTGGTTCGAATCCCAGACCCTGCAGCTTGAAACTCATGCCAGGTGTGTGTGTGTGTGTGTGTGTGTGTGCACGCGTGCGCCCGCATGCATGCACCGAAGATCCCAAGAGGAGAATGGAGAAGGGATTGCAGTGTGGTCATCCTCCTGGGGGGTGATTTCTTGCTTTCTGTGTCTTCACAAGTGCCAGTGCACTATAGCATAAATCTCTCTTTTAAAAAAACTGCAAAAATATTTTTTATCATCTGAGCAAACTTACAATAAAATACTAACTCCATTTTGTCAAGTAACTTAGAAGGCTCTGAAAGTAATCTCCTATCCCACCCCTACTCCAACCCTGACCTAGTTAGTTTTGGGAACTGCCAATTTCTGGTAATTATTTAGAAATAATAGTAATAATTTTTTAAGAGGTTTTTTCCTTAGGGCACATGTACTCGCTGGAGAGTGAGAGAAACAGAGAGACAGTGACAGTGAGAGGGAAAATGGGAAATCATCCCACGGGGGTGGGAGAGGCCACACCACACCTAGTGTGATTTTCAAGCCACTGGGTCCAGGACTGAAACCGTGGTCAGCCATGTGGGAGTCCAGTGATGTAACCACTATGCCATCTGCTGGCCCAATAATAATTATTATTATTTTCTTCTTTTTTTTTGCCATAGGGCATATATGCTTGCCAGTGAGAGAGAGTGAAATAGAGAGGAAATATCAGAAATTTGCCCCCCACCCCTGGAAGGATGGTCACACCACAATCCTTTCTCCTCTTGGGATTTTGGGCAGGCGTGCACACGCGCCTGGCATGTTTCTCCAGCTGCTGGGTCTGGGACTCAAATCGTGGAGTCGGCCATGTGGGATCCTGCACCTTAACCACCACGCCACCTGCTGGCCCCTATAAATAATTATTTTAGGCTAATCAAGTTACCTCTATCAGCTATGGGTAGATCCATACTCTGCTAAAAACTTTTTACTGGTTAGCATGAATACTTGTCCGCTTTCTTTATTTAATCCTTAACTCAACGTATTCAAGATACTTTTGTTATTTTTAAAGAATTACTTTTTTTTTTTTAAATTTGCTATAGGACATGTGAGCTCACTAGAGATAGATAGACAGACAGACACACACACACACACACACACACACACACAGAAAGTAGGAAAGCAAGCTGCCAGGTCTGGGACTCAAACTGGTCGGCCATGTGGGAGTCCACCACCATGCCAGCAGCTGGCCCCAAGATATTTTCTTTTTTCTTTTTTTTGGAGAGGTTTTCGCTATAGGGCGCGAGCGCTCGCCAGACAGAGAGAGACATAGAGACAGAAAGCGAGAAATCACCCCCGGGGGGGAATGGTCACGCCGCAATCCCTTCTCCTCCATTCTCCTCTCGGGATCTTGGGCACGCACACACACGCGCCCGGCGTGAGTTTTAAGCCACTGGGTCTGGGACGCGAACCGCGGTCAACTACGTGGGAGTCCAGCGACATAGCCATTACGCTAACTGCTGGTTCCCAATATTTTCTTCATAGATGAAAATATAAAGCTTTTATTAAAAAATATTTGTAAAAGTAAAATTTCTATAGTAATAGTAAATTTTGCCATAACTTTGGACAAATGTAGGATAGGTTTTTTTTTTTTTTAGAGGTTTTTGCTATAGGGCACGTGCACTTGCCAGAAAGAGAAAGACAGAAAGCGAGAAATCACCCCCCAGGGGGGATGGCCACGCCGCAATCCGTTCTGCTCCATTCTCCTCTCAGGATCTTGGGCACACACGCACATGCGCCCGGCATGAGTTTAAGTCACCGGGTCCAGGACTCCAACCACGGTTGACTACATGGGAGTCCAGCACCGTAGTTTTCAAAGATGATAAACGCCACAGGTTAGGTGAAGAATAAATACTTACACTTACATTTCCATTCATTCATTTCCTTGAAATTTTCTTTAGAGCATATGACATTATAAAATCATAAGACACAAATATCAGATCTTTTAAGAGATCTGCAACATAAATGAAAATCTTACTGTAACTTACTGTATAATATATACATTTTAAAGAATTATTTTACTTAACTTTATTCATTTGTTTATTTATTTATTTCAATTTGACTAGAGAGGGACAGAATGAAAGAGGACACTTACGAGCACACCAGCAGCGATGGAAGCAATTGTGTTGCGCTTCTCTCCCCAGTCAATGCATTCTGAGCACCGCAAGCCTTCCAGAAATCCAGACATTTTTTTCAGGTCACTTAAAATTAAAAATAAATAAAAATAAATAAAATACCATTCACTTCTATCATGACTTACGTTCTCATAAGATAATTCACAGTTCAGGAAAAATTTAAGAAGTGGTTACAAATGTCTTATTTTGGTTCCACACACTTCAGAATATTTGATTTTGCTTCTGATGAATTTCATATTGTAACTTCAAAAAACAGCATTTAGATGCATGTAAGATTTTTTCTAATTTAAAAGATGGTTTTAGTATATTAAGTAATATGATCTCACACACAAAAACCACTAGCTGACTTCCTGCTAACAAGTGTTGTATTGTACTATATCCAAGTAGGTTACTAAACTAGTTTAAGTGAGCCTTTTAACAATAGATTATTAATGCCCAAGAGTGCTTTTCTATCGTTTTAATTCCAAACTAAGTTGCTACAAGATTTTGGTGTTTACAGTCCAGTAGCACCAACACAGTGGAGAAATAAGTGAAACTTTGGCTGAGTTAACGCATTCAGATGAAAAATATTTCCCAGTAATTTACACACTTCATCAAAGAACTGTCTGTTTTTTCACACCTAGATTAAGAACTTAAACACCACAGTGCAGGTCTTAACTCTATCCACATCACTTCCTTTTACTTCATTATTTTTTCCTTCTCTAAGTGTGCCTTTTGACATATCTACTTAAAAAAATGAAAAAAAAATTTATTTTAATATCTGTCTCGCGCTCATGAAGGATCAGAGACATGGACGAGGAGAGGGAACAGCAAAGGGAAAATTACTGAAGGAGAGAAAAGCTCCCAGATCAGGGAGACGGCCTGGAAAAACGGGCCGCAGAAGAGGAGCTGAAGCAAGGGTTTTTAATCCCAGCAAGGATGGCCTTGTGCATGCGATTCCCTGGTGGGGGCTACATGTAGAGTGATTTACGTCACTCCGTTTGAGAGTGGGCTCACAAATCAGGAGACTTTAGACATTTAGACCATAATTAACCAATATTCGGCGGTGCTTTGAAGTTTGTGGCCATAAAGTTTCAGTGGGTACACAGCTCCCACAAGTCTAAGACAGGGCGTGGTTCTCTGATGCCTTTCCCTTGCGCGGCTAGAAGGGAATCTCAGTCACCCCCAAGCCTGCAAGTCATGTCCCCATTTCTCAACTGAGCTCCTGATGAATTACTGCTGAAGGTCCTCTGCTCAGTGTCTCCAGGCCAAGAGAGACTGCATTCTTGGTTTGTAACATAGCAATATATGGAAAATGTTAGTTTTAATTTACCTTGAGTAGGCTGTAAGCAGCTCTTCTCTTGATGAGAGCAAGCAGCTTCTAAAGTCTGATTTTGTTTTTTTGAGAGGTTTTTGCTATAGGGCACGTGCGCTTGCCAGACAGACAGAGAGACAGAAAACGAGAAATCACCCCCCCCCCAGGAGGGATGGCCACGCTGCAATCCCTTCTCCTCCATTCTCCTCTTGGGATCTTTGACACACACACACACATACACAGCGTGAGTTTAAGCCACTGCATCCGGAACTCAAACCATGGTCAAGTACATGGGAGTCCAGCAACGTAGCCATTACGCTAACTGCTGCTGATCCCGTAATGTCTGATTTTGAGGCGTGAATGATTTCTTTTTTATTTTATCTATTTATTTAATTCCATTTGTTATTATTGTTTAATTTGACTAGAGAGAGAGAGAGAGAGAGAGAAAGGAAAGTGAGAAAGCAAGCTGCCAGGTCCAGGATTCGAACTGCAGTCATCCATGTGGGAATCCAGCACCTTTAACCACCATGCCACCTGCCAGCCCCAGTGGTGAATGATTTCTAACAGGAGCCTGACCAGAGTGACTCTATCTTGTAAGCTGGCTCCAATCCACAGGCCTATCCCCACCTACTGCGTGTGTGCACATTTCTCCTACCTCACTAACATTTGCTTCCAGACAAAAGCAAGCCCAGAATTGAGGTTAATGTTAATTTAGACAAAAAGCAAAATATCTATTGCTATCTAAATGACCATAGGATCTAACTAGTCTTAACTAATTACATACAGCATTCCCTAAATGAGCTGTACAGAGCTGGCCTGCGGCACATCCATGTTATCTCTGTTTCGGAGAATGAGAACTCATGACCTACCTATATCTCGCTAGTAACTAAGAAACACACAAACTCCGGGACCAGCAGTTAGCGTAATGGCTATGTCGCTGGAACTCCCACGTAGTCAACCGCGGTTCCCTTCCCGGGCGTGCCCAAGATCCTGAAAGGAGAATGGAGGAGAAGGGATTGCGGCGTGGCCATCCCCCCTGGGGGGTGATTTCTCGCTTTCTGTCTCTCTGTCTCGCGATCGCACGCGCCCTATAGCAAAAACCTCTAAAAAAAAAAAAAGAAAGAAAGAAAGAAACACCCAAACTCTTACAGCAAACTGAACCTGTCCATTAAGTTACTCGGTAGTCTGTAATTAGGGCTGTCCAAAACATGATACCCGAAGAAGAGCAGCAGCTCTTGTAACTTCTCTTAAAAAGTAAACATTAACAACTATGATTCTAACCAGCGGCAGGGGACAGGATCCGTTTTTAAAATTCACTCATTTCATTCTTCCCTGGGAGGAACTGCAATCCAGTAAGTGTTATTTTCGGTTCATCCCAACGGCCCCGCCCGAATCTCTCTTTCTCCGCAGGGTCACTGGCTCACTCCAGCCAGACGCCACCCGCCTGACTCCGCGAATGTTAGGACCAGAGGGTGGACCGGGCTTGGAAGCTCTGGGGACCAGAAGCTCCCACAAGTCTAAGACAGGGCGTGGTTCTCTGATGCCTTTCCCTTGCGCGGCTAGAAGGGAATCTCAGTCACCCCCAAGCCTGCAAGTCATGTCCCCATTTCTCAACTGAGCTCCTGATGAATTACTGCTGAAGGTCCTCTGCTCAGTGTCTCCAGGCCAAGAGAGACTGCATTCTTGGTTTGTAACATAGCAATATATGGAAAATGTTAGTTTTAATTTACCTTGAGTAGGCTGTAAGCAGCTCTTCTCTTGATGAGAGCAAGCAGCTTCTAAAGTCTGATTTTGTTTTTTTGAGAGGTTTTTGCTATAGGGCACGTGCGCTTGCCAGACAGACAGAGAGACAGAAAACGAGAAATCACCCCCCCCCCAGGAGGGATGGCCACGCTGCAATCCCTTCTCCTCCATTCTCCTCTTGGGATCTTTGACACACACACACACATACACAGCGTGAGTTTAAGCCACTGCATCCGGAACTCAAACCATGGTCAAGTACATGGGAGTCCAGCAACGTAGCCATTACGCTAACTGCTGCTGATCCCGTAATGTCTGATTTTGAGTAGTGAATGATTTCTTTTTTATTTTATCTATTTATTTAATTCCATTTGTTATTATTGTTTAATTTGACTAGAGAGAGAGAGAGAGAGAGAGAAAGGAAAGTGAGAAAGCAAGCTGCCAGGTCCAGGATTCGAACTGCAGTCATCCATGTGGGAATCCAGCACCTTTAACCACCATGCCACCTGCCAGCCCCAGTGGTGAATGATTTCTAACAGGAGCCTGACCAGAGTGACTCTATCTTGTAAGCTGGCTCCAATCCACAGGCCTATCCCCACCTACTGCGTGTGTGCACATTTCTCCTACCTCACTAACATTTGCTTCCAGACAAAAGCAAGCCCAGAATTGAGGTTAATGTTAATTTAGACAAAAAGCAAAATATCTATTGCTATCTAAATGACCATAGGATCTAACTAGTCTTAACTAATTACATACAGCATTCCCTAAATGAGCTGTACAGAGCTGGCCTGCGGCACATCCATGTTATCTCTGTTTCGGAGAATGAGAACTCATGACCTACCTATATCTCGCTAGTAACTAAGAAACACACAAACTCCGGGACCAGCAGTTAGCGTAATGGCTATGTCGCTGGAACTCCCACGTAGTCAACCGCGGTTCCCTTCCCGGGCGTGCCCAAGATCCTGAAAGGAGAATGGAGGAGAAGGGATTGCGGCGTGGCCATCCCCCCTGGGGGGTGATTTCTCGCTTTCTGTCTCTCTGTCTCGCGATCGCACGCGCCCTATAGCAAAAACCTCTAAAAAAAAAAAAAGAAAGAAAGAAAGAAACACCCAAACTCTTACAGCAAACTGAACCTGTCCATTAAGTTACTCGGTAGTCTGTAATTAGGGCTGTCCAAAACATGATACCCGAAGAAGAGCAGCAGCTCTTGTAACTTCTCTTAAAAAGTAAACATTAACAACTATGATTCTAACCAGCGGCAGGGGACAGGATCCGTTTTTAAAATTCACTCATTTCATTCTTCCCTGGGAGGAACTGCAATCCAGTAAGTGTTATTTTCGGTTCATCCCAACGGCCCCGCCCGAATCTCTCTTTCTCCGCAGGGTCACTGGCTCACTCCAGCCAGACGCCACCCGCCTGACTCCGCGAATGTTAGGACCAGAGGGTGGACCGGGCTTGGAAGCTCTGGGAACCAGAGCCAGCCCCGCCAGCCCGGGTGCGCGGAGCGGCCGGTCACGCCGCCTCTCGGGTCTCAGGCCGCCCGGCTCCCGAGGAGGCGGGCCCGAGGGCTCGCAGGGGTCCTGTGCTGTCCGGGGAGGGCGCGGCCGCCCAGGCCCCCGCGGGACACAGAGGGAGTGGCCAGGCAGGATGCAAGCTCGGCTTCCCGGGTGGGGGCGACGGCCCTGCCGGCATCAGCCCGGCACAGTCCGGGGCCGAGCGGCCGTTCCTGCCCTCCCTCTCCTCCCGCCTGGCACTTACGCCCGCACCCGCACGTGCAGTCGGTCCGGAGCCGGGAGTTACGCCGCGCCGGGCCGCCTCACTTTCCCCTAGTTTCACCCAAGAAAACAAAACAGCCACAGGCCACCAGACCCCGGATGTAGCAGCACCGCCCCCCCAGGCTTCGGTCGCGCATGCGGGTACGGGGCGGAGGGCGGGGCGGGCCCCTGGAGCCACGCCCACTGAGCGGACGCGTCTGCGCGTGTGCGGGGCGCGCTCCCGGGACTGCCCGCTGCCTGCGGTTATCACCTGCGTGTGCGAAGTGCTGACTTTGTGCCCGCTCTTCAGGGGTCGGTGTGGGAAGTAGCTGTTTGTCCTACCCTCCTAAAGGGAAGGGCTCGTTGACCTTTGTATCCGTCTTGAGTGAGGTGGCAAGATGTCTAGTGCTCGGTCGGTCCTGCTGTAAGTGCCGATCCCGCGTGGTGCAAAAGGCGGCCGGGCTCCGGGCCTGAGTTTGTTTCTCTGTCCAGAGCGGGCGGGTCCACGCCGCAGCTCCGCCTCCCGCCAGGGGCGGGCCCAGCCCGAGGCGCAGCGTGAGCTCCGCGCGGCCGCCAGTGTCCGGGACTCGGCTTCCGTGTTCTCAGGCTAGGCGTCCCAGCCTCGGCCCTACTGACGCTGTGGGCCGGAGAGGTCCGTCTCGGACTGGGCGGGCGCAGAGGGGGCTGTCGGCATCCCAGACCTCCAGTGGGATGCCCGGAGCCCCTGCAGTCGTGACAACCGCACGTCTCCAGACCTTGCCAAGTAGCCCCTCCCTGGGAGAGTGGCGGCCCGAGTACACTGCCAGGGGCTGGACGGGGTTTTCAGGAAGTGGCTCTCAAAGAGAAGAAAGGGAAAGCTGGAAGCAGTGATGTCTTAGCTCCGTGGACTATGGGCTCCTCTCTTCCAGAGCTGTAAGTCGGTCTCGCGTCCTGGTCGGTGGTCGTCCAGGAGTCCGAGCTCCGAGGGAGCAGCAGGTCAAGGTCTCCTTGGAGAAGGCGCCACCAGCGCAGGTAGAGGCGCTACTTGCTGAGCGGGTCGCGAACCCGCAGTCACAGATTCCCGGAGAGGCGCCTCGGGCAGTCCAGGCGGTATTCCCTCTCTGCTGGTGGGGCTATGGGAAGGTCGGTCCCCCGGGGGCGGCGCTGCTAAGGCTTTATCCCATGGTGTACCTGGAGGGATGCAGCAGGTGGAGGGAGACACCCAGGAAGGAAGAGGTCTTGGAGAACAGCTTTTCACCTAAGTGAAAAAGGTGGGGCATTTGTGGTTAACAAAGGCGCACAAGTTCATCTTATTTACATGTATGACAATATCTGAGGTTAGAAAACCCAGGTGGTTGTGTTCTTTGATGCATGAAATCTATGTAGTTTTGGGGGATTTTTTGAGAGAAGGGAACTAGCCATTTAGTGGGTAACACTATACAGTACAATCCATAGCCTATTTTAAAATAACTTTTTTTTAGAAAGAGATTTTTGCAATAGGACGTGCCCTCACCAGAGAGACAGAGAGACAGGCAGAAAGCGAGATATCACCCCCCACGAGGAATGGCCACCTGCAGTTACTTCTCCTTTATTCTCCTCTCCTGATTCTGAGCACCCATGCACATGCCTGCGTTGATTATTTTTTTTAAGAGAGATTTTTGCTATCGGGTGCATGTGCTCGCTGGAGAGACAGAAACAGAGACAGAAAGTGAGAAATCACCCCCAGGGGGGATGGGCAGGCTGTAGTGCCTTCTCTGTTCTCCTCTCCAGCTCTTGGGCACGCAGGCACCTGCACCTGAGTTTTAAGTTGCTGGATCCGGGCTTCTACCGCCATCAGCCAGGTGGGAGTTCAGCGACATAAGCATTATGCCATCTGCTGGTCGCAAGTGTAGGCAGTATGAAACCTCTTAAAAATATATTGTTTTATTTATTATTATTATTGTTAGTTTGCTATAGTCATCAGAGAGAGGGGAAAAAAAAGAAAACAAACCACTAGGTCCAGAACTGGAACTGCAGTCAACCACGTGGGAGTCCAGCATCCTAACCACCAAGCCACCTGACGCCCCAATGAAATCTTTTTAAAGACTATTAATGACTCATAATGTTTACCAGCTCTGAGCAGCATTTAACTAACCTGGACTTCAGCTTTACTAACTAATGACTGTAGTAGGAAACTTTCATTTCTCTTTACATTCTCTGTCTCTACATTTTTTGTTTCTAATAAGGTTTTTGCCATAGGGTGTTGTGCTCACTGTAGAAAAACAGAGGGAAAGTGAGAAATCACCCCTCAAAGAGAATGGCCACATCACATTCCTCCACCATTCTCTTCTTCGGATTTTGGCCACTCATGCACATGTGCCAGGTGTCAGTTTCAAGCTGCTAGATCCAGAACTTAAACCATGATCAGTCACGTGGGAGTCCAATGCTTTAAACACCACGCCAACTGCTGGTTCCTGTCTCTGCCCTTTTTAAACTTAACGTGAGTGTAAAGTGGTCTATCAGTATGACTGAGAAGCTTTATATTGCTATTATGATAACATATTGCTTAATTTGTCATGCTCAGACTTCGTATTGATGTGTGTGGGCCCGGAACTCACAATAGCCCAAAGCCAACCATTGCCAACATTTCCCAGGCTTCTGTGAGTTCACTGCCTCTGCCTCTCTCCCTCTAGAGTATTACAAGCAATCTGAGTCCTTGAGAAGCTGGACACCCTGCTTATCTGACCATTCCTTCCTGAGAACAAACTCTAGGCCGCATCTTCCTGATGGGCTTCTTCCTCCTGCATAGGCTTCTCCGAAAGGATACCCTTAGCCTGCAGAAAACTGCCCCAACTCAAACTCCCTGATAAAAGACTGTGCTTAACCCCCAAGGGGGGCCGGAGATTCAGAGTGTTAACTCCTCCGGGCCCACCAGAGTAATTAGAGTTCTCTTTTCTCTCTGGAGTGCTGTGTTTTCATCCCTTGGCTGTCTGTTTTTCCACAACAGTATATGCTACCAAAGTTTCTGTTCGTGTATTGTAGATAGAATAGAGGTGTTAGAAATAGCAAAAGCTGGGGCCAACAGGTGTCGTGGTGGTTGAGGGCACTGGACTACCACATGGCCGACATGGTTCAAGCCCCAGACCTGGCAACTTGCTTTCTCACTTTCCTTCTCTCTCTTTCTCTGCCTCTCTCTGGGCAAATTAAAATAAATAAATAAATAAATAAAGTTAAATAAAATAATTCTTAAAAGAGAAAAAGGAAAAATTGGGCAGGCAGGTGGCTTGGTGGTTGGAGTGACTGGACTCCTCCACACATGGCTGACTGCAGTTCAAGTCCTGGATCTGACAACTTGCTCTCTAAACTTTCTTTCTCTCTGTCTCTCTCTGGTCAACCTCAATAAAATAAAATAATGACAATGAATAAAATAAAATTATTTAAAAAAAGAAATTACAAAAGCCAGTGCAGCTAAATCTTGAGGAACAGTCAACCTTGACCTGCCAGCTAGTCTGAGAACTGTTCCCATAGCTAAAGAAATGATCTGTGGATGGGACTGGCAGTTGGCGTAATGGCTATGTCGCTGGACTCCCATGTAGTCGACTGGCAGTTTGAGTTAGCCATTACGCTAACTGCTGGTCCCCATTCAATATCTTTTCATTGTTTTTCCCAGTCACTATTATTATTATTCCATTTTTTTTAAAAACATCAATCACTATTTCTCATTTTGCTTGTAAAAAGACTTTACCCATCATGAAATACTTCTCAGACCAATCCAGTTGAGAATACTATACACGTCATCAACAGGTAATAAGCTATATCTGTTTCCCACTATCGTCCTGCCTCTCTATTTGTTCTCTTGCTATCTTTCTCTATCCTCTTCTCTTCACCCCCCCATTCCACACTGTCTTATTCTCATTAAGTATTTTCACTGCTTTTATGTCCTCCAGTATTTCTCTGTCTACCATAGAGTGTGGATAGTCGGTATATATTAAGTGGATACATACAATATCTTTCTTTCATAGCTTGGCTTGCTTCACTCAGCAATAGATCCTCCATATCTGACCACTTTCTATCAAATACCAGGGTCTTGTTATTTTTTATGGCTGAGTAGTATTCCATAGAGTATATATGCCACATTTTTCCAATCCATTCATCAGTTTGTGGACATTTAGGTTGGTTCCATGACTTGGCAATTGTGAATAATGCTGCAATAAACATTGATGTGCAAGCACTTTTCCAACTGAGCGTTCTCCTGTCCTTTGGGTAGATACCCAGAAGTGGGATTGCTGGATCAAATGGTAGTTCTATTTGTAGATCTTTGAGGAACCTCCATATTGTTCTCCACAGTGGTTGAACTAGTTTACATTCCCACCAGCAGTGTAGGGAGGTTCCCTTTTCACCACATCCCTGCCAGCACTTATCACTTTTTATATTCTTAATTTCTGGCATTCTGACAGGGGTTAGGTGGTATCTCATTGTGGTTTTTATCTGCATCTCCCTTATGATGAGGGATGTCGAGCATTTCCTCATATGCTTTTTGGTTGTTTGTATGTCTTCCTTAGAGAGATTTTTGTTCAGCTCATTTTCCCATCTGTTAATTGGGTTAATCTTTTTTTTTTTTTTCCCACATAAGCCTATGTATTCTGGTTATCAGTCCCTTGTCTGAGGTGTATTTAACAAAAATATTTTCCCATTCTGAGGGTTATCGGTTCACACTTGTTACTGTGTCCTTTGCTGTGCAGAAACTTCTTAGTCTGATATAGTCCCTCTTGTCTATTTTAGGGATTATTGCCTGTGCTTTGGGAGTCTTACTTAAGAAGCCTTTGCCTACTCCAATGTCTCCCAGAGTTTCCCCAGTATTTTCCACCAGTAGTTTTATTGTTTGAGACCTTAGGTTCAGATCTTTGATCCATTTTGAGTTGATTTTTGTTAATGGTGAAAGATGGGGGTTCAGTTTCATCTTTCTGCAGGTGGACACTCAGTTCTTCCAGCACCGACTATAATTTTTTTAGAAAAGGAAAATAGTGGTGAAAATGTTGAGAAATTGGAGCCTTTATACATTCCTTGCAAGAGTGTGACATGCATAGCCACTGTGGAAAAAGCTTCATATCCTCTCAAAAAGTTAAAGAATTATACCATCCCAGCAATTCCACTCCTAGGTATGTACCCCAAATAGCTGAAGACATAAATTCATACACGGACTTGTACATGGATAGTCAAATCTCTCTAAGTTCATAATAGCCAAAGAGGGAAAACCACCCACATGTCCATCAGCAGTGAACAAGTAAACAAAATGCAGTATGTGTATACAAGAGGGTCATCGAAAATTTTGTGGAATTGCTAGTATGAAAAAGCTAGGGGGCGCCCGGCGGAAGCCACACGGGGCACCCGGCGGAAGCCACGCGGGAGCTCATGCCCCCGGAGCGGCGGGGGCCCCCAACCGCAGAAAGGCCCCCCGGAGGA